CGAGGAATGCGCTCCATTAATGCACGAGGTACTGTTATTTGGGACTTACTGTGTTTCAAACATAGTCTTATTCTCAAAGTTTACCTGTACTATAAAGCAATTAATCATATCTGTGAGAGACCCAGAAGGCCCTCAGGTAAGTTGCTGAAACTTTTCTAGAAAACTGAGGTGATTCAACTGCCAAGTGACTTCTTTGTATACCTGATTATATATGCTTACTACTCAAATATTTATTTTTGAGGAACTAGAGAGGAGTTACCTATGCAGGACCTTTAGCCAGCCAGGCAGCATGTTATCACTAAGAACAGGCACATAGATCACTACCTGACGTGATGTAGAAGGAGAATATTGAAAAACACTGGTAGGTGTTCAGTAAGTTATTTTCACTAATGGCAAAATGATTGAGGACAGTACTGGAAATAAAAGGAAAGAAGCCATTGAACACACATTTGTCTAAAAGTTACAAGAAATTTATAAATGAGGTTGTAATAAAGCCACTCAAAAGAGGACAGTCCAGGATAAAATAAAAAGTACAATGTATTAAAATGTAGTAAGGCGTTTCTAAATGTATTTCACTGGTGTTACTATGTTTCTAAGCACTTTGGAGAGAAACTGTAGTAGCCTGATGTTAAACTTAAGATTCTGGAAGTCCCAACTCCACAGTGGTGGGTTCCAGGTGTCAAGCTGGAGCTATGTTAGAGGGAGGATTAGGGTCAGGTGACCGCTAATGGCAGCCAGCAAGGTTCCGCTGTAGGAAATGCTGTGGGATGGGGAAGGTCTGAGCTTGCTTCTTTACTGGCCAAATCCTATGTGACATTGAAGGGCAGACCTTAGTAGGTTTCAGTGATTGTTAATTGTTTATCTCCCCTATGAAGGACAGGACCAAGGTAATTATCTTTTAGTTTCAAGGCATGACACAAGGTAGACTCCAGATAAATTTGTTGAATGACTACATGCAGTTTATCTCCATCGAGGTTTATTATCCCCACAATAATTTTCTTAGTAAGTTTATTAGAGACACCGTCTGCCATAGTTCCCAAATTTAAACTATTTTTTTTGCCTAGGTTTTTTTTTTTTTTTTCAAATCCTACCTAATTGATTTGCATAGTTGTTTCAAATCAAATGCTACATCCCATATCTTGCAGTGACGCAGTTATTCACTGCTAACATCTAAATCGGAGAAGTGAAAAGGACAATTGTTTGGTGATTTCTTAAGTCCCTGCCCAAGATCAGTAGGGAAATCCCATTAGCTCTATTCATCGCATTTCTCATAAATCTAAAAGGAAAGCAAGTATCCAAAGCTTTACTCTTTAATAGTTCTTATTTGTAAAATCTTGACAGGGCTTTATTCTAAATTGCTTCCAAATTACATAAAGAATAGTTAGAAATATGATGGGCAGTGAATCGTGATAGTTTCAGTCATCGAATAAATAAGTAGAACGGTAAAAGGGGACTAATCTGAAAGCAAACAGAGTATGATGGGCTACGATGAGGCAAAAAGAACAGAACTGTGGAATTCTTAAACTACCATCTGGCTCAATCCTCTTTAAGTGGCCAAGTTGAAGAGCCTTTTATTCAGTGCCCTAAAACTTATTCAAAAGGCGCAGTATTTGAATATTAATATTTCCATACAGTAAAAAAAAAAAAAGTCTTTTGTAACCAAAAAGGAATGTTTAACAAAATAATGGGTAATCCTCTGGCTAAACATGAAGGCGTGGGGAGCACCCTGTGGGTGGGAGGTCGGCTGGGACCCAGGGTGGCCGCGGGCAGCCTCTGGGCCTTCCCCTCATGGCTTCTTTGTGGTTAGGGTAACTTATTAAAGTTGTCATTGTGGTTTGAAATTTAGGCACGAGGTGTAAAATTAAGGAATTCATCAGGAAAAATGAGCACAGTGATTTCTAGTACCTTATTTCATCAAAAAGAAACAATAAGGTAGAATTGCCATATGAGATAGTTGAGGCAAGGAACACAATGGAAATTCGAACCTGTGGTTGAATTGTGCTTTTGTGTAATGGGAACCAATTTCATCACTTTGTAACAGACCCCTGACAATTGGTGTTTTCTTTATTAAGCCCTGGATGTTTAAATGAAACGAAACAGGCTTTTATTTTGTTTTCCTGAGGTGTGTTTGAAAAGTTGAACAAATTCGAGTGCACTTCTTATCTTCAGCAAAGATGCTTTAGAAAGGTATTTTAGCATTCTCCCTGGTTTAAAAGACAAAACCAAGTCCTGCCGGCTTTGTGTTGTGCTTCTCCTACAGGCTGCAGTGCCTTCTGTCTGCTTTAGGGTGTGGCATCTGCCATTGGGGAGGAAAAACTGGCATGTGTCGCCTTTTATAGCAGACTGATTTCATTGTGCTGGGGGCCTCTATTTTATAGCCTCTTAGTTCCAATCTTCTAGTTGACTTGCTGAAGCAAATGGAATTAAAAGAGATTTTGATTTCTCTACTAATTTTTTTTTAGTTTCATGATTTTCCAATATGAAAAAATATTTTAAGGAAAAGGGCCATAGCTGAACTTGGTGACTCATTTTCCCTTTTAAGATTAGTTGTGAAAATAAGCTACAACATATGGCTACACTTGTATGAACTGACTTTGATATATTTTATCAATTTGAAAAAATGCACTTTTATGATTATGTGTACATACTTAGTTTGACTATAAATGTCTAAAAGCATAAATATGTAATTGATTTTAGAATATATGTATATAGATACACACAAAACAGACATATATTTATATTTGCATATGAAAAACTAAAAATTCAACTTCTGTGGTGTAATCCGTATAATTAGTATGTATTTGAATATATAAAGGGAGAAAATCCAGGAAAAAATGTCAAAAAGGCACACTAACAAAGATGTAGTATTCTCTTGGCAAAAACTGATGAATGATTTGGCACGAATTCATCTTATGGTTCTGTTATTCTCTCTAACGCACGACGATATACCCCGTTTTCCAGTGGTTTGCGTAGAATTGCAATTTGTTGTTTCTACACTCTATAATGACCCTTGAGTGTGCACCTGATTCCCTCCCCCCCACCCCAATTAGTCACCAGTTTTCCCGTCAATCCTTTTCCATTTAGTCATGTAACATATTTACACTTGGTCAAACAAACAACCACTGCAGTGGAAATGAACTAAAATAGTTTTTATGGAAAGCTGAAGAATGAAATAATTTTGGAAAACTATACTCTACCAAAACCTTAAGTATTGTTTATGCCAGGTTTTAAATGCTTTCTCTCAATGAAAACTGAGTCCACACTAGTACAAGTGGGTCATTGCCTAAGGTTAAGAAGTCCTGCTTTTCAAAATGTTACTAGGTGACTAATAACGCAAATATTGAAAACATTAATAACAATGCAAATATTACAAACATAAAATGTTAAGACACCAATTTTTAAGAGAACAAAGTATGGAACATTTCTACTTTAGAACTAGAGTTGACTGTTTTATATTATCATTGTTATATTTATTAAGTATAATGTCTGTAATATTTTAGTTTCGTTCCACATCTCTTTGAAATGAATGCATATCAAGAGCGTTAACTATGCACATCAAACTCAGAAATATGATGAAAGGTGTCATACAGATTTATGAAGATACGAGCTAACCCATAGCTGTCGCTGTTCTGGCACCAAGAGTTAAATTTTCATGTGAAAGTTGGCGCAGAAAACACCAGTGTACATACTCGAGAGAGGACATCCAAGTGCATGTAAGAAAAACGCTCCTTTGGGAATACTTGGAGTTTTCATTGACAAGCCTACATACGTGTTTAAGGTGCCCTCAAAAAGAGTTATGTAAACATTCTCTTTGGTGCAGGTGCAGTCAGTCATAAGCATTTATTGAGTACCTACTGTGTACAGGTCACAGGGCTCTCTGACCGGGGCTAACCTTCATTTCAAATCTTTCCCAATTTTGCAGTTGGAAGAAGTTGTGGGAATTACGCCGATGGCCCGAAATCAAGGCAGAGGCGAACGTTCTGAAAATTACATAACTCCTGGGAGAGACCGTGCTTTTGCACAGATTGCCTAAATATTTTATTTCTCCGTCGGCTCCCTGTAACCTCTGAGGCCAATAGACAACTTTGTTTCCCAGCCCTTCTCCCTCTTTTGTCTGCTCGTCAGACTCGTTTTCCACCTTTGTATCGTTCCTTTTAGACGTGAAAACAAACACGCGAACGCCCGGTTGGCAAGGAGACAGCGGCCCGGGGGGAAAGTGCAGGTTCCGGCCGCACCACGCCGCCGCGCTCCCAGCGGCCGCCGAGCCGCCCCGGCCCCGGCCCCGGCCCCGGCCCCGGCCCCAGCCTCAGCCTTAGCCCCAGTCCGGCTGGGCCCCGCGAGGCTGCGCCGGGGCGGGCGGCGGCGGCGGCCCGGGGACGAGTCCAGTCCGCGTTTTGCGAGTGCGCGGGAGTAATGCGAGCGAAGTGGATAATAGTTGCTCGAGCTCGCCCGCTCCCTCTCATGCCATGCTGGGCCCGATAGGCTCAGCCAGTCGTGTATTTACCCATATCCGGGTTAGAGAGGAAAAGAGAAAAGTTTCATTTAAACCTGAACTAAAAACTTTCACCATGAAAGCACACAGCGGGAGCAGGCCCAGAGCGTAAGGCGTGCCCGGCCCGGCGCTCCGGCGGGGCCTGCGGAGGGGGAGGGGGTCGCGGCTTCCCGGCGGGCCGCGTGGATGCGCACAGGAGGGGCCGCGTGGAGCCACAGAGGGCCCCGCCTCGAAACGTGGGGGTATTCTCTCCCCTCCGCCCCCCGCCCGGCCTCGCCACGCCGCGGCGTCATAGGCCGCCGCAGCAGCGGCGGCGCGGCGGCGGCGCGGCGCGGGCGCGGGGCAGGGCAGCGGCGAACGCGGCGCCCGGGGGCGCCGGCGTCCCGGGGCCCGGGACCTGGAGGCGGGGGCGCGCGGCGCGGCGGCGGCGGCACCGGGACCCATGCTGGGGGGCGGCGGCGACGGCGGCGGCGGCCTGAACAGTGTGCACCACCACCCCCTGCTCCCCCGTCACGAACTCAACATGGCCCATAACGCGGGCGCCGCGGCCGCCGCCGCCGGCACCCACAGCGCCAAGAGCGGCGGCTCCGAGGCGGCTCTCAAGGAGGGTGGAAGCGCCGCCGCGCTGTCCTCCTCCTCCTCCTCCGCGGCGGCAGCGGCGGCGTCCTCTTCCTCCTCGTCGGGCCCGGGCTCGGCCATGGAGACGGGGCTGCTCCCCAACCACAAACTGAAAACCGTTGGCGAAGCCCCCGCCGCGCCGCCCCACCAGCAGCACCACCACCACCACCATGCCCACCACCACCACCACCATGCCCACCACCTCCACCACCACCACGCACTACAGCAGCAGCTAAACCAGTTCCAGCAGCAGCAGCAGCAGCAGCAGCAGCAACAACAGCAGCAGCAGCAGCAGCAGCAACATCCCATTTCCAACAACAACAGCCTGGGCGGCGCAGGCGGCAGCGCGCCTCAGCCCGGCCCCGACATGGAGCAGCCGCAACATGGAGGCGCCAAGGACAGTGCCGCGGGCGGCCAGGCCGACCCCCCGGGCCCGCCGCTGCTGAGCAAGCCGGGCGACGAGGACGACGCGCCGCCCAAGATGGGGGAGTCGGCGGGCGGCCGCTACGAGCACCCGGGCCTGGGCGCCCTGGGCGCGCAGCAGCCGCCGGTCGCCATGCCCGGGGGCGGCGGCGGCCCGGCGGCCGTCCCGGAGTTTAATAATTACTATGGCAGCGCTGCCCCTGCGAGCGGCGGCCCCGGCGGCCGCGCTGGGCCTTGCTTTGATCAACATGGCGGACAACAAAGCCCCGGGATGGGGATGATGCACTCCGCCTCCGCCGCCGCCGCCGTGGCCCCCGGCAGCATGGACCCCCTGCAGAACTCCCACGAAGGGTACCCCAACAGCCAGTGCAACCATTATCCGGGCTACAGCCGGCCCGGCGCGGGCGGCGGCGGCGGTGGAGGAGGAGGAGGAGGAGGAGGCAGCGGAGGAGGAGGAGGAGGAGGAGGAGCAGGAGCAGGAGCAGGAGGAGCAGGAGCGGGAGCTGTGGCGGCGGCGGCCGCGGCGGCGGCAGCAGCAGCAGGAGGCGGCGGCGGCGGCTATGGGGGCTCGTCCGCGGGGTACGGGGTGCTGAGCTCCCCCCGGCAGCAGGGCGGCGGCATGATGATGGGCCCCGGGGGCGGCGGGGCCGCGAGCCTCAGCAAGGCGGCCGCCGGCTCGGCGGCGGGGGGCTTCCAGCGCTTCGCCGGTCAGAACCAGCACCCGTCGGGGGCCACCCCGACCCTCAATCAGCTGCTCACCTCGCCCAGCCCCATGATGCGGAGCTACGGCGGCAGCTACCCCGAGTACAGCAGCCCCAGCGCGCCGCCGCCGCCGCCGTCGCAGCCCCAGTCCCAGGCGGCGGCGGCGGCGGCGGGGGCGGCGGCGGGCGGCCAGCAGGCGGCCGCGGGCATGGGCTTGGGCAAGGACATGGGCGCCCAGTACGCCGCTGCCAGCCCGGCCTGGGCGGCCGCGCAACAAAGGAGTCACCCGGCGATGAGCCCCGGCACCCCCGGACCGACCATGGGCAGATCCCAGGTAACCCCCGCGCCGGCCGGGCCTGCTTCCGCCCGGCGGCCTCGCGGCGCCGCGAGCCTGAGTTTCTTTCTTTGCCGCGTACTTTTCCTCGTCTTCCCGCGGGGGCGCGGCGCCCAAAGCCATCTTGACGGGCGGCCGCCTCCCGCCGCGGTCGGGGCGCCCCGGGGGCCGGCACGCTCTCCAGGCCTGGGAGGGCTTCGCCGGGCCGGGCCGGGCTGGGCCGGGTGGCTTCGACCCCGCCGGCCCGCACCCGCGCCCCCCCTCCCCCAGGCCTGGGAACGCGAGGCGAGATCCCGAGGCGCCACCCGCGCGGACGCCGTTTGGGGCGGCGGGGACCGTTCGGGTGCTTTTGTAACAAATAGGTTCTCCTGGCCAGGACGGCCGGGGCGAAGAGCCACCCGATCGGCTCTGGGAGCGCCCACAATGTGCTTTAGCGGGGGAAAGAATGAGGAACTTTTTCCCACCTTTAGCCACCGCACGTTCCCTCTTGGCTTCCGAGGTCCAGGCAGGGAAAATAGGTTAGCTTTGTGACAAGCGAGTGGGTTTTTCCTACTTAGGGAAAGCCATTCAGAGACACTCGGTGCGGGCTTCGAGCTCGAACGTTTGCTGGCAGGAATAATACCAAAATCCACAACGACGTGGAGGTGCAATATTCTAAAATACATCGATTCGTTCCTTAGAATAGCTAGGAAAATCCATTATTGGGCTTACGGGCTGCTTGCAGGGAGTCACCTTCAACAGGGAGACTATGTGAAAGGAGCACGTTCCGGATCAATTGAACTTATTTTGATCATGGATTAGGCATGCATTTTATTCAGCAAATCCAGTAAGATAGCAGACTAGTGAAAATTGATCTTTTGGGATCGTATTTATTTGGATTTTCTTTATTTTGCTGTCACCCGAGTCCTACAGCGCTGTTAGGAAGTGTCCTGCACTCTTGCTGTTTCTTGCTAGTAGGCTGAGCCTAAAGACTGACTTGATCTCCTTTGCAAGGTTTGGAATTTGAATTGTGGAGGTAAACTGGCTGTAATAGTCTCCAGACAGCTGCCTCTGAGTTGACATCTAATCTGCCATCTGATTGGCTCCCCTCTCACCATTGGGCATTTAGCACTGCTGATGTAAATAGAAGTGCTGAGCAGTACAGTCACAAAAATTCTTGCCACAAATAATAACTGAGCTCTATTACAAGCAGATGTAAGGTTCAGTATTTAAAGCCGAAACTATTATGAATCATAGTTATTAATAAGAGGATCAAATACGGAAAAACGGTTCGCTGGTTTCCAGTATTGGGCATTTACAAAATTCTGATCTTTGATGACAGTCTTACAATATGCACATTACATATTCATGGACTTTAATTGGAGGCTGAGGATAAGGCCATTGAAAAATAAGTAAACCACGAATTTTACCAATTTTTGGATTTGTAAAGCCTTTATAAAAGTCTCCCCTTTACGAATTCGACTATGGAAAAATTTGAATTCTGTCAGCACACGGGGCTTAATATAACATTAAAATTTTGAAAATTTCAATATTTTGATAGGCAACAATATATTTTGGTGAAGTGTAATTCACCTGATAAACAAGATTTCAGTTTCATTTTTTTGTGATTTATCAGTTCTGAATATTTAAAGATATTTATGGATGAGGAGTTTTGGTTAGAATTGACATATTTAAAAAACGAAATAAGAAAATCACATAAATATTTTTGCAGATAACAATAATGAAATAGGGAAAAATCAGTTATTCCTGTGAAATACTAACAATTTGCTTTTGATTTGGAGAATACAGAAATGCCCCAAGAATTTTTTTTTCTTGATTGTTTTGTTAGATTAGGTAATTTGAGCCTTGTTCGAACTGCTTACACAATGAATTAGGGAAACTATATTCTAAGCAAGTTGTGCTGGGTGTGTTTTTTCCAAATAATTTTTCTTTCGTGTTAATACTATGAACGTTTAAAAAATTCTAATCTGTTAGAGGGGAGCAACAGTCGTTGTATGTATATTTTTATGTAACTCATTTATTTGAGGAAGAGGTATTTTAACAATAATCATACCTTAGAGACTTGTCAGAGTGAAGGAAGGGCTGAATTTAACAAATAATCTTGTGAATCCTAGGCTGAACACTGCTGTCCACTGCTTTCAGATCTTTAGTTATTGGAGTTTGGCTTTTAAGGATAATATATTTTTCTATTCTTGATAGAAAACTTGTGATTTCAGCTTGTTTTTGATTCACACGAGGAAAAACATTATAGAGAAGAATCATGGAAATAAATCCACATAATTTTAAAAAGGTTTGCTTTGTTAGCCTGCTTTTAAAGGAGCAATTTAAAATTCACATCTTCATAAACTAGAGACGAATGAAGTTAGAGGCAGATGTAGGACCATGTTGCTTTAGAGTATTTTTTTCTTAATGGTACCAATCATTTTCAGTATTTTGTTTTCTTGGAATGAGAATGAATGCATTATGTCCTATGACCCTTGGGAATAGCTTGTTTTTTTTTTTTTTTTTTGAGGTAGGGGGAAATATGATGGACATGCGACTTAGATTCAGGAATTTCTTTTAAGTACCTTACCGTGTAACATGTGGAATGCGTCTTTTTTACCATCCCTTTTTTCTTTTCTTTTTGGAAGGCTAGTATTATTTAGTGTTTGTTGTTGTAATTATACTAAGAAACAGTCATTTGTCTAAAATATTAAATTACTGCCTGACTGTAGGTCATAAAATAGTATTAAATCACATTGTTAAATGATGAAATATTTTGACTTTTAATACGTTTTTAGTTTCATTTTTGATTTCAGGAAATAGTTTCTATTGGGTGGCAAATGTTTTCGTAATTGGGACAAAACGTGTATATATAGTAGGAGAAGGGTCTTTTTAAAAAGTGAAATAAGCCATTTGACAATTCAGTTTGTTACTAGATTTTTGTGAGATGAGTATTCAGATGGAGCAGTCTGAAAAGGAATATTGAGGTCTACTCATACACATAGGTTTTATGATGTCCACATTTCTACTGAATTCCGTAAATGCTGTTTTAACTTTTAGTTTTATAAAACGTAGTACAATGTATTAAGAAAAGAGCCTTATTTACCATTGGAAGAAAAGTGACTAGCTAGCATGGGAAGCAGGAAGCTACAAACTAGTTCCTCATTACCTTAAAATGTGTGTGAGGTACATTATTTGATAAAATCACTCCCAGTTAAATCTTAGGGTGTCTGATATTTTAAATCTTGTAAATAAATTTTTGTGGCCTAAATTTATATATTTGCCAAAGTATGGATGGCTGTGTATAGTTAGAAAAGATGGACTTAGTAACTGTGGCTCATGGAAAAGGCCTATCATTTAAAAAACAGAAAAAGAAAATATAACAAATGTTTGCAGTTTTGTTTTCTAAATCATCTGGGATGAAATTATGCATGACTTAAAATCATTTTCATTGGGAGTCCTGATTTTTGTGGTACATACTTTTGACAATATTTTGGTTTTTTTTTTTTTTTTTTAGTGGTAGCCACTCTTTAAGACAGCAATCACTTAGGTTTATGTTTATATTAATACTAAAACAATAAGTATATGCTAGGGACTAGCATATCCTTACCTTGAGTCTATAATAAGGAACCTTAACCCCTCTTTGCTTTGGTTCTGCTTGTCTATATTTAGTCATGAATTTTTGGCAAGGCTTTTTATACTTGCTCCATTTTTCTCAATGTCATAGTGTATCAGAAGTGTGTTATGGATGTGGAAATAATGCAGATCACACTTGGACACTTTTACTAATATATTTAACCTCTGAGTGTCATTTTCCTTTACTGAAATTGAAGAAAATAACGTCTTTATTCTGATATTAAAAAAATATTAATTCTGGTTTGAGAACGGACTTTAAAAATATAAGACAATGTAGAAGAAGACTTAATATAAGCTCATTTGATCGTTTTATTAGACACAGATACCTTTTAAAGAGAATAGGTATAATAGAATACGGTTGAGTTTTCAGTTCTATTTCTTATTAATAGACTTTATTTCTTTATGATTCTGGGCAGGGTGTATCTATCTAAAAAGATGACTTCTGATGTAATAGGAACACTTGTTTTCCTAGGATAAATTCCAGTATCACAGGCAAACCGAAAAGATGATCATTCCATTTATTTAACCCTACCCTTTCCTAGGAGATGCGTGGTTTGATGAACATTTGTTAGGGTTCCATGAAATTTTCTACTCAATTTGGAGACTGACTGGGGATGTAAATTTAGGATGTGCTGGCATAGGTCTCTGTATTAGCTTTTTGCCGGTGTCCTCAATCTGGAGGCTTTTCTCGCAGCTCTACGCTAGACTGACACTGCTCAACTCATGAGGCTCTGTGCTTTGATCCATGTGGGTGGAAAACGGACTAATATTTCACTCGTGTCACTTCCATTTTGGGGTGTATGTGTAGATTTGTAAATTTGAAATCGGTATTTATGTTTGACAGAACTGTGGTGTGTTGCATAAAATAACAGATTTATGGAGGCTGAACATGCATATTAATCAAACTCAATTCCATTATTTGATTTTTTTGCAATATTTAGGTTTTCAAGTTGGATGTTATACAATTTTTGTGACATTTTACACTGCTGTTGTTACTCGAGGGGCCATATCCACCGCTTAGGCCTTTTTGGGATTGGGTGGTTTTGGTTGCATGCCTTTTTGGAGATGCCCTTTCCTGAACGGGAGGGAGGTTTTTGCAGGTTCTCTGTGGATATGTAAAGTAGTGCCGCACACTTGCTGTGTGTGCTTGCTTAAGGCTGAGGAATCCCAAACCCTGTTCCCTGTGGTGTCCGGGAGAGACATCAGGCAAAACTGTTCCTCTACCAAAAATCTATTTATGTATCATAGATGTAGAACTGTTATAAATATCTTTTCTCTAGCTTGGAGGCTATTTGAATAAGACTCAATGGCCCTTTTGGTTTAATTGGGTAATTGAGTGAATTAATTCTGATCTAAAAACTTGGTGTACTTTAGCAACTTTT